AAGAGGCCCCTCCGCAGAGGAGGAAATGACTTTCAGGAGAAAGCCAAGTTTCACAGAACCCAGGTAGCGGGAATCGGAGTTTCACAGATCCAAGGACGGGGCGCACACTGGTTCTACCAGGAACCCCAGATGGGGACCTTATTTGATAGAGTCTCTGCAGATGTCATCAGGTTAAAAATCGCAGCCAGGTGTGGTGGCTCATGCCTGTAATCCCAGCTACTTGTGAGGCTGAGATTGGGTGGATCAAGATTTAAGGCCAGCCAGGCAAATAGTTCTTCAGACCCCATCTCCAAATTAACCAGTGCAAAATGGACTGGAGGTGTGGCTCAAGTGGTAAAGCACCTGCTTTGCAAGTGCAAAGCCCTGAGTTCAAACCCCAGTACAACCAAAAAACAAAAAAAAACACCACCAACAAAAAACAGTGCTGCAAAGGCCAGCAAAGACTTTCTAGAAAGCTCTAGACAACACGGAGCAAGGACTGCCCAGGACTGAGAGGCCAGGGAAACGGATACAGCCCCGAGGAAGACCCAGTGACACTGGCTTTATCACCCTGCCGCAAACCCACTCCCACCCTGCAGGTAGGGCGGGTACCAGCCGTGCTGCGTGTGGACGCAGAGTGGCACAGCCAGGACAGCTGTCACCGGGAGATAAATAAATATGTGTGATGAACATTAACCAGGGAGGCCAGGCAGCAGTAAGCAGCAGCAAGCCTGATACGCATCCAGCCACAGGACAGGTTTTGAACAGGGTGGACACGGACAAAGCGGCCACATGCCCTGGGCTCCAGGTGCCACCCCAGCTCCAAGCACTGGCTTATTCTAGCCTCGTTTCCACTCTATGGGAAGGTATGGATCACTGGGGGCTGCATGTGTCCCCCCAAAATCAACATGTCACCCCCAATGCCTCAAATTGTGACCAAACTTGGAGTCAGGGCTTTCAAGGTGTGCTTACGGTAAAATCAGACCACTGAGGTCAACCCTAACCTAATCTGAACGGTGACCCATGAGAAGAGGTGCCTGGGACAGACAGATGCACAGAGAGGGATGACCTTGTGGGGACAGGGAGGACGGCCATGCACAAGCCAAGAACAGGAGCCAGCCCTGCCTCGTGGACTTCCAGCCTCTGGCTGTGAGGAAATAAGTGTCTGTTGTTGAAGGCACCTCATCTATGGTCTATTGTGATAAGGCCCAGCAGACAAAGTCAGCCACCAAAGCCCACAGACTTGAGCCACCTGCCCAGAGTCACACAGCAGGCAGGAAGCACAGCACACATTTGAACCCAGGGCCTTAGCCTCCAAAACCTGAGCACTCACTCTGGACAGACTCCCAACACTGCACATGGTATGAGGTCAAAGAGTAGAGCTCTTGCCCATTAAGTGTAAGGCCCTGAGTTCAAATCCCAGTACTGCCAAACAAACAAACAAGAAGAATGATGGGAGTGAAACAGTTTGCCGCTTCCAAGGAAAGTTGAAGACACCCTGGCCAAGACCAGCCTTCCTACTGCACTGATGGGCCCTGGAGAATGTCAGGTATGAGTACCCTGCAGGCAGGGGTACAAGAGTTCAAGACTCAGAAAATACCCCCCAGTCATCAGGATATGTCAGATAAATGACGGCATCCCTGTGATTATTACACAACCACAAGAACGAGGAGTCGCTTATCACAACAGCAGCGTGGAGGAGACTCAGACCATGGGAGGTGAAAACAGCACAAGCCGGGCAGCCCAGCGCTCAGAGACGGAGGCAGAAGGATTGAAAGGCCCAGGCCAGCCTGGGCTACCTAGTGAGACCCTGTCTCAAAAAAGAAAGAAAGGGAGGAGAGGAGGAAGGCAGGATGGCAAGGAGGAAGGGAGGGGAGAGGGAGGGAGGGAGGAAGGACGAACACAGAGTATGAGTCCATTCAAGTCAAATTCAAAATCAGCCGGGCATGTTGATACACACCTGTAATCCCAGCACTCAGGAGGCTCAGGCAGGAAGACTGTGAGTTCAAGGCCAGCCTGGGCTATATAGTAGGAATGTCTCAAAAAATCAAAAGAAACCAATTCAGAGGGCACTGCTCCCCGTGTGTAGGGTTGGGTATAGGGCAGCGCTACGACAAGCAGGCCAAGCTGGGATCCAGTGGTGTCGCCTGCAGGGGTTGCTGGGGCCTCAGGGCTCTGACTCTTTACCTGGGGGTGAAGGCTGTGTGTTCAGCTGTATTTGTGTAGCTGTGTGTCTTATGCACTTTCCTAGAATTGCATATTTCACAATACAAAGAAGTCAAAGATTTGGAGGTGAGCGTGTACAGCTGGGGGGGAGGAGGTGGAGTTGGGGACCTGAGAACAAGCAGCAGAAGGAAATCCCAAGGCCGGGTCCAGCTGCTGGGGAGTCCCGGCTGTGCTGGCTCTTGGCCAGTGGAACCAGCATGGTCTTCTGGTGCCAGGTGGCCCAGCACAGGGACTACTGCAGTACCCAGAGGGCTGGAGGGAGGAAGGCGAGGCAGAGAAGCCCTGGGGACCCATAACCTGTCCAGCCTGGAGCAGGGACAGGCTGGGAGGGAAAGTCAGGCTGCAGCCCCGAGAGCTGGGACCATCCTTATCCCAGCCACCAAGGGCCCTGCGCCACTCACACAAGGTGGCCTTTGCGTGGGGTCCTTGGGACAAATACGTGCCAGTCCTACCTGAGGGCGACCTGCCAAGAGCCATGCAGGGAACAGCAGGTGGAAAGAAAGGGGGTGCCCTGGGCTGCGGGAGGACACAGAGCAGCCAGGCCTCACAAGGGCACCTGAGCCGCTGCTGTGAGGGTGCGGTGGAGCAAGAGGTCCGAATGTGAAGAGGGTGGGAGGGGACAGCAGTGGCCAGTGTACACTGTCCTGAGCATGGCCAAGGCTGCAGTGAGGACTGCGTGATGCCCCTAAGTCCACGCTGCAGGCTGTCTGCAGTGGCTTGCAGAAGATTCAGCAACAAATTGTGGGGAGAGAGGCACAAATCGCCGTGTTTTGGCAATTTTTCCGAAATAAACATTTTCACCATACAGCCTTGGGTGGGAAAGGGACCCAAAGGTGCTCGCAGGCCTGAACCAAGCCAGAGAATCAGAGCGGGGCCCCTCCAGCCAACACCAGGTGCCAGCAGAGAACCCAGACATCTGTAGGAAGCCGGCAGAGGACAGCCCCATGTCCGCACCATGACACAGACCGACCCCCTCCAGGCCAGCGTCCACAAGGTGAAGATGGCCACAGGGAAAATGTTTATGTGACACCTGCCACTCTGTCATTCTAAGTGCTACCTCCTCCACCTTCATAAAAGTCCTCTGTAGGTCACACTTTTATTAACAGGCACAGAAAAGTTAAGTCATTTGCCCAAAGTCGCCCAGCAGGGAAGTGACAGAGGCAGGATTTGAACCTGGGCTGCCTGCCTCCAAAGTCCATGTGCCCTGGTCCACCTAAGCAATTAGAAGCGGAACCCAATCGTGGCCTTAACAATGAACTCAGGGCCACCCACCCTCCTTATGTCTCAGTCCACTCCAGCCTCTCAGCCAGGTGGGCACAGGGAATCACACAGGGACACTCGCAGAGGTGGCTGTCCTAGCAGACCCCTCCCCCACACCCGAGGCAGAGCCAGCCGCAGCCCCTCACATTGCCCCAGAGAGGAGCCCATGCCCCAGGCTGTGGGGCAAGGGCCAGGAGCAGGCGATGCCAGCTGGGACACCTCACAGAACACACCTGGTGGCTGGGGTTCCAGGTCCCCTCCTCCGCAGCCGAACCCGACAGTGTGCTCAAGGTTACGGGTCCCATGCTCTCCCCCTCTCCCCAAGAGCCTCCGTGGGAGGCAGACAAAGCCTGAACTCTGGCACACACCCCACACCCCCACCCTGACATAGCCCTCACTTTATCACAAACGCCTCCTCCCAGGCCAGGATGTGCGCAGCAGAGGGTGGATGGGACCCCAGGGATTAGCAGTTAATGACTTGCTCCTGCATCTACCCAGGCCCCTGCCAACCCCTGTCCCATGGTCCTCCTGGCTTCAGCCCAGCATCCCAAGATAGCCTGGAACAGGTGGGTCTTGCCAGCACTTGGCGCCAGTGAGCCCTGTGGCCTGCTGTCTCTGGGTTTTGGTTCCCCCAAAGGAAAAATAAAAGATGGAACTGAAGAAAACAAGAGTTCAAGATCTAACAACGTCAGAGTTTGCGAAACGATCCCCTGGTAAACACCAATTAGCTGATCTTCCAACGCCCCCTCAAGAGATCTTAGATACAGCAACAAAGAAAATAATCTCTAACAGTCAGAGCAATGCCAGGCTGCAATGGGGATGCCAGCTGGGGACACAGGAGCATCTGTCACACCTTCTCCCTCCTGGTCTCCTTTAGGGCTCCACTGCGTTGCCACCTGGGTCTCACCAGTTCAGAGAATAACTTCTCTCTCGTCTGCAAATGGGTATGTGATCCAAGCCTGACCAATCAAATTCGTTTGTGTTTTTGGGGTGTGGGATTTGAACTCAGGGTCTCATGCTTGCTGGGCAAGTCCTCTACCACTTGAATCACTCTGCCAGAGCGTGACCAATCAGTGTCCATTTCTTGAGTCACAGTGATTGGTCCAGGGATGAGCATGTCACCCAAGCCCAGCCAATCAGAGCCAATGAGCACTCACTCCACAACTTTCCCAGCCACTGGCATCATTGCTAGTTTTTTTTTTTGGTGGAAGGGGGGCGGTGGGACTGAGGTTTGAACCCAGGGCTTCCAAAGTCAGCACTCCACTGCTTGGGCCACACCTCCAGTCCATTTGCTCTGATTATTTTGGAGATGGGGGGTCTCACAAACTATTTTCCCAGGCTGGCCTCAAACTGCAAGCCTCCCAATCTCAGCCTCGCAAGTAGCTAGGATTACAGGCATTGAGTCACCGGTGCCTGGTCCCTTTTTCTTTTTTAATTGATGTAGACTATTGTACAACAATAGCACGAAAGTGGGCCACACCTGTACAACCCTGGGGGTTTGGGCGGGGGGTGGGGGGGTGGCGGTCACCAGCAGAATGGACCTGAGTCTCCTGATCCAGCCTCACTCTATGTAATAGCTCAGGTTAAAATGCATAGAGAGGGGAGTGCCTGGACCCATCCCAATCCCAGACCTACCAAGGACCAAGGACCTCCTGGAGGCAGTGGCAGGGGGCCCCCAACCAGACCCCCACCCTCTGGCCCATTCTACCACCCACAGCCGGCCAGTCTCCTCCTCCCAGCCCCTCTGCCTTCATGTCAGGACAGGAAAAAAGGTCAGAAAGAAGATGCCAGCCTCCCACAGGAAAAACAACAGGCCCGGAAGCCTGGGAGAACTTGCTGGAATCTACACCAAGCATGTCCAGACTGGGGCCCTGAGTCCGTGGGTGTGTCCGGGGGACCTAGGCTTCTGCGTCCTCCTTCAGCCCTCAAGCAGTCCCAGAAGGCGGCCTGGGAGAGGAACACAGAGAGGTTATGTAACTCACCCACAGCCGCACAGACAGGAAGAACCGGGCCAGGCTCTGGAGTCCATGCACTCAAGGAGCCTCGCTGTGGCCTCTCCCTGCCTCACCCCAGGTCTCTGCCCTGCACAAGGGTCTCCAGCTATAGAGTACCACCATGCACAAGACAGATAAGGTCCCCAGAAGTCCTCAGAGACCATCAACCTAGTAAACAAGATAATTTCAGGGCTGGGCAGGGAACACACGGAGCTGAGCCAGTGCAGGAGGGCGACAAAGTGGGGTGGTCAGGCCGCTGTCCACCTGGGGCCTGGTGGTCAGGAAGGGTCTGTGTTTTAAGAAGTTACATTTGGGGGCTGAGGCTATGGTTCAAGCAAGGCCCTGGCTCAGTCCCCAATACCACAGGATGAAAGTGAAAAGAAAGTAGATTTGAGCTGAAACATGGAAGAACACCAAGCAGAAGAGCCCGGGGAAAAGGAGTTCCAGACAGAAGGCACAGCACGTGGAAAGGCCCTGGGGCAGGAAGAACAGGTCAGGTTTGAGAAGACAGGCAGGTAAGGCTGGAGCCGATGACGGGGCAGGTGGAGCCCACAAGGAAGCATTCACGGGACAGGTTTGAAGCCAAATGCAGGGAGGTTTCAAGCAGTTCTTTGCAATGATCCATTTGTGGTTTTGTTTTTGTTTTTGGAGGGACTAGGGTTTGACTCAGGGCTTCACGCTTGCAGAGCAGGCAAACTACCCACAAGCCACACCTCCAGTCCATTTTGCTCTGGTTAGTTTGGAGATGGGGGTCTTGAGAACTATTGCCTGTCCGGACCTCAAATCTCAATCCTCCCGATCTCAGCCTCTCAAGTAGTGAGGCTAACAGATGTGAGTCACCGGGGCCAGGCTCATTTGTGTTTGAAAGAACATTCTGACTTTGATGGGAAGAAATGACAGTAGAGAAGTGTGGACAGGCAGAGCAGACAGTGGACAGTGCCACGAGGGAGTCCAGCAGCCTCAGGGACGAGATGAGGGATGGCCCTGAAGCAGGCAAGGGGCCTCGCAGGGGTCACAAACCAGCCAGTGAAGCAGCCCGTCGGCTAAACATCCAGTCAAACAAGCATTTGGGAACCAACACTGGATGTCGGGCACACTTCCAGGTGCTGAGGACACAGCAGTGAACACCGAGGTCCCTGCCCTCCTGGGCCTGGCTTCCCACGGGGAGAAAATGACAGTAAATAAAAGAACACAACACACAGGTAACCGACACCGGGTCTTAGCCCTGCACACAACGAGCAGGAGGAAGAACAGGATGGGGCAGGAACCGGCTGCACTGACTAGGGTCTCAGGTGGCCTCTACGAGCAGGTGCAGCCTGAACGGAGCTGGCGGAGGTGACAGGGGTCGTGTGAGGTGAGTCCTGCACTCTGGGAGGGCCTGTGTGCAGGGAATTGGAGGGACAGGAGGTGTCAGAGGGGCCCCACGGTAACCTGGCTCTGACTCAAAGGGGACAGACAGCATGGCCACCGCAGGCTGGGGCAAAGGCAGCAGTGACCTGTCACAGAGGCCCTCTGGCTGCCACAGTGGGCAACCCATACTGAGGGAGCAGGCCAGAGAGAAGGCGGCTGGTGTCACAGGTGCGGTGACAAGTGGCTGGACTTGGGAGACAGCCCAAAGACACCAGAGCTGAGGATGGTTTAGTGTGGGAAGTGGGGGGGACAGCTGACCACTGACTCCCATGCGCAGGACAAAGGGGTCACCGACAGGGAAGGTGGCAGGGAGAGGCCGCCTAGAACCCTGGGCAAGACGGAGTCCCTGGTGCAGGCTCCAGGCTGGACTTCCCAGGAAAGGGCTGCGCCCTTTGCCCTGACACGGAGGACATTGCGACAACGGGGAGCGGGCAGGCTGGGGTGGCGTTGGACGCTGAGGCTGTCTGAGCTGACCCAGGCAGGAGTGACCACAGGAAGGACCATGCCGAGCAAGCCTGGGGACACAGACTGTGGGAGGGCAGGAGCTAAGGAGGCCTGGGCAGGCGAGGCCGAGGGCAGCCAGGGAGGCAGAGAAGCAGAGGATGCACGTATGGGGGGGCTCAAGGGCCCTTCTAGAAGCTTCCAGGGAAGGTGGAAGGAACTTCACTGAAAATGCCAGGAAGCCAGCAGGGGTCAGGCCCCTCCCGTTCCTTCCCTCCCCAGCAGAGCCCCAGGGGCAGGAAGGAGGCAGGGAGGGGAGGACAGGAGCTCATCTGGGTCTAGGCCGAGCTCCCAGGCTGAGGGGAGCAAATCGTCCCCAGCAGGGACAGGGTGGGGGCGTCTGGGCCCCGAGGTCACAGAGCCAGGGCTGAGCCTTTCGTGTTGTCCCGTTCACAGCTCGGCCAAGGCCACGCGGGGGTGCGGGCTGCGGGGTGCGGGGTGGGGGAAGGGAGCCTGCTTCCTTGCTGTTATTTGTGTAATTTTTCCGTGCTCTGGGACAGGGTCTCGCTCCCACTCCACCTCCCGGTTGTATTTTTGGCACAGTCCCTCGAGCTGCCTGCTCACGGTGCCGAGCCGTGAGGGCTGCGTGGAGGAAGGCCGGGGTGACCCCCCTCAGCTGAGCGCTGGGGATCCCACGATTATGACCCAGAACCGCTGCCCGCGGGAACCCGGGAGGGGCCGGGGCAACCGAGCACCCTCTTCTGCAGACCAAGGCCATGGGTGGACAGTGATGACCCACGGACAGGGTCCATGGCCTTCCACGGAGCTGTGCCAAACCTCAGCGGACCAGGACACACGCTGGCTCCTCACTGAGCCACCCTCACGGGGACGTGGTCATCTGGCAGAAGGGAAAGGCCACGGTGGCCCAGTTCCAGGGAGCCGCACCTCGTTCCGAGGAGCCAGGCGAGCCGTGGGGGGACAGCGGTCCCTCTGTCCAGGAGGAACGAGAAGGTTCGGGCCATGGTGCACTTGCCTGGCGACAGGACTGGCCTGGGAAAGGCCAGCCAGCGGTGGGACCCATCCACACACATGTCCACATGTGTACCGACACAACCATGGGCCTGTGTGGACACCCAGCCATATATGTTGGACTGTCACCAACAGCAGCCCAAGTGGTACCCAGGGACACGTGTCCACAACGCATTGGCACATGGCCACACACCGAGGCATGTGAGCGTGTGACACGCTCATGTGTGTGGGCACCCGCGTGCACGCCACTGGTACATGTGGACACACAGCCACACGCGTGTGTGCAACGCACGCACGGGCGACGCCACAAAGAAGCAAATCCACTGGGAGCACAAAGGGAAGTAAAAATAAACCACGCGGGACTAAAAATAGAAGTGTCGCTAGCTGCCCCTGCAGGAAGCTGAAGCCGCCCGCGTGCACCAGGTGGCAGGAAAGGGGAAGAGAAGAGACCACATAGGAGCACACCTGTGGCCTTGTCCTTGTGGGACCCTGCATGAGATGCCCTGCGGCCACAACACTGTCTCACTGTCCTGGATTCCACTGGGGGGGCCCGGGAGGGGCCAGAGGTGGCTGAGCCCACCCTGGGTCAACTCAGGCCTCAAAGTCACTGGAGTCCCCACCAGGAGGAGGTCATCCTGACCCCACCGCACTTGGCACCTGGTCTGTGGACACCCCTAGAAGGAGCTTCTGGGAGTGACCACAGGAGAAAGGCCTCAGATGGACCTGCTGCCCAGTGCTCGAAAAGAGAAACAGAAGGGCCGACCCAAATAAAAGAACAAGAAGGACCCATCCAGCCCCCTAGGGCCAAGCAGGAGATTCGGAAGCAGGGCAGGGAGAGGCCGCCACCAGCTTTGGAGTCAGGCTCCCTGGGAGGCACTGCTGTGTGACTTGAGGCAAGTTACTCTTCCGTCTCTGTGCCTCTGTCTCCCTCAGTAAAACAGAAGGCACAGCTGCCACGTGAAGTGATTTAACACCTGCCGGCCCAGGCGCAAGGGCCCAGGCCACAGTGCCTCGCCAGTGCCCATTGGCTTTCCACTGACTGGCAGAGGAGGTTTGCCACAGGGTACAAAATAACTCAGGGACAGTCCAAGGTGTCCCCAGGCTAGCCCGGCCTCCTGAGGGCTGAGTGTGGCCCTGGCTGAGGGAGAAGGGAGCAAGAGTCTGGAGTTGTGGTTGGTGGTGGGGAGGGGGCTGAAGACACAAGCTGGTCTCCAAGGAAGACTGTCCAGCTCATCCTAACATCCTGCCAGCACTCAGGGGCCCCCAGGAGCCCAAACACTGCTCTGGCCCTGGGGACACGGTGGTGACGTGACAGATGTGTAAGTAAGAGGACAGGCTCCCTCCGGCTAACTGTGCAGACCAGGACAGAACCACTGCACAAGTCCAGGCAGCAGGCAGGGGAGGCCACAGTGGCAGGGATGGTGTGAAGAGGTCGAGCTCCAGATCCGCCCAGAAGGCAAACATCAGATGCCAGGAATACGGAAAAAGCACTTGCGGGGATGATGAGGGGTGGCCTGAGGTTTTGTCTCTACTGCTGGGGGACAAATGAAACTGCTTTGGCTGAGATGGGGACCCAGGTAGGGGAGGCGCCAGGGGCTGATTCCAAGTAGAAAAACAATTTAAAGACTGCAGAGAGGCCCATTGCCCCCGGCCATGGAAGAAGATCACGAGAAAGATGGCGGCCTGGCCAATGGGTAAATGCTTGCCAGGCTCAGTTCCAGGGAGAACATGCAGGGACCCTGTCCTCATGGGGAGTCCCCCACCCCACAGAACCCCAGCTAATTACAATGACAATCCTGTGTCACAGCACACTGGCCAAACTAAAGGACAGTATAGTCCCCCACAGGAAGGAAGAGACAGGAGGGGTCACTCTTCCCAGCCACCTCAATCCCAGCGTCCTTTAACCATGTGTCTCCTGCATTTGTGCGTCTAACTCATTTGGCCATTCTTTGGGGAAATTTGTGTAACTATTGGTAATTTTAAATTAAACACACAACACACAAATATATTCTGTTTAAAATCAAAAAAGAAGAAGAAGAAGAAACCGGGCACCGGTGGCTCACACCTGTAATCCCAGCTACTCAGGGGGCAGAGATCAGGAGGATCGTGGTTCAAAGCCAGCCTGGGGAAACAGTTTGTGAGACCCTATCTTGAAAAAATCCATCAAAGAAAAGGGCTGGTGGAGTGGCTCAAGGTGTAAGCACTGAGTTCAAACTCCAAAAAAAAGAAAAAAAAAAAAAGACCAGGTTTGGTGACACGCACCTGTAATTCCAGTTTGAGAGACTGAGGCAGGAGGATGCAGAGATTAAGAGTAGCCTGTGCCACACAGTGAGTGAGACCCTGTCTCAAGGAAAAAGCACATAGCATTATCTTTTTTTTTTTGGCAGCATTGGGGTTTGAACTCACGGCCTTGTGCTTGTTAGGCAGATCCTCTGCCACTTGAGCCACTCCGCCAGCCACAGCAGTATCTGTAACAGATTCAGTCTCTCCTCTCCCCCACATCGTCAGTCTGGAGTGTCCCCTTCTACACCTTTTCCCAAGTTTTTACATGCACTACTATGGCCCTACTATAGACACAGGGAACCGCTCATTCCTTTGACATAGAATTTTTTTTTTTCAATTAGCAAGCTAGCCGTGCTGAAACACACATGCACTGGACAGAGCTCCTTTTGTTTAAACCGGTCTCTGGTGGCCCATGCCTGTAATCCTAGCTACTTGGGAGGCTGAGGATCAAAGTTTGAGGCCAGCCTGGGCAAATGGTTCACAAGACACCATCTCCAAAATAACCAGAGCGAAATGGACTGGAGGTGCGGCTCGAGCAAGCGGTAGAGCACTGCTTTGCAGACTGGAAGCCCTGAGCTCAAACTCCAGTCCCACCAAAACCAAAAGAGCTCCATTCCGTTCGTTCTCATCTCCCTAGTGAAGGGCAGCCCAGCCTCCCTGACCGGGACTCCTGCCCACGTCGGCCGCAAGCGTGAACCTTTTGCCGTGACCCAGATCCCTTATCTGTGGGGAGGAGGAATTCCACCAACTCATCCTGTTGCACAAAGCTGATGGATCTGTCTGGTACACGCAGGGCACTTCCACACACTGGTAATCTCCTTTGCTCCTGCTAATCTCCCAGGACACACCAGACCTGACCCTGCCTCAGCACAGGAGAAACCCCGGCCAGCTAAGTGCCTGGCCCCAGTTCCCAGCTACACACGGCCCCACAGGCTCCAAAACTGTTGCTGACATGGATTTTAAACGCCTCGTGTTCCTACCCAACCCCAGGGTAAGCTGACACAAGCAAACCAGACTTTCAGGAAAGCCAAAAACAGAACCATGATAGATTATGCTGAGATGAGCAGAAGTGGGCCGTGCAAGTTTACACGGGGGTCTGCTCAGAAAGACACCATGCCAGTAACTGTCAAAATCCAAATGGAGCAACACCTGCGGGTCCCCAGACACCACTGTACAAGTGTTCGTGGATGCACGCACAGAGCTGCATACTCTCCAGAGAAAGTCACCCGTCCACAGAGGAACAGGTAAGCAAATGCTGACCTATCTAAAGGAATACTATGCAGTCAGGAAGACAAAACGTGATAGATTTGCATGTTCTGAGACACAGAAGTCTTCAAGCACTATCACTGAATTGTAAAGCAAACTGCAAGCTATTTGCATGTGGTATAGTTCCATGAGTGGCTCAAGTGGTACAGTGCTCAAGTGGCAGTCGTGAGGCCCTGAGTTCAAACCCCAACACCCCCAAACAAGGGGAATAAAATAAAGGGAACATTCTTTTTTTCCCTCTATTTGAATTTTTTTTGCAGGGAGGAGTGCTAAGGATGAAATCCAGCAGTTGCACCCTGGGCAAATGCTGTACCACTGAGGCACACACCCCCCCATCTTGATTTTTTTTTTTTTAACAAACAAGTATTTATGCCACTTATATATGAATTTCTTTCATTAACAAAAAAAAAAGAGCATAAAAAAATAAACATCAAAGCACAAAGCCTCCCATTCAAACTGCATGGACCTAGGCAGCCAAAGGAAACTCCGTCGGGGTCCCTCCCTACGTGGCTGCTCGTCCCTAACACTTCTGGCCTGGGCGGTCCAGAAGTGGCTGTCTTGGGCTGGGCGTGCCTTTCTATCTTCCTGCCTTCACGCCACTCCACCCCGAGCCAATCGTCTCAGGGATATTGGAGGGAAAGGGTGCTGGAAGGCTCTCCCTCACTTTAAGCAGGAACTCCTAGCTCCAGGACAGCTCTGAGGGATGTGGATTTCCTTTTTGGAAGCTCCAAGGGCACAATGTGTGCCCACTAACATCCTTCACCTCTCCGGCAGCCTGAGAAAGAAAACACCCAGGTATAAACGCTACCTACGTCCACACCCCCTAAGCAAGAAAGTAGGTGCTCTTTTGTTCAGGGTCACGTGCTCATGCCGCCCAAGCTGCAGGCCCTCCAGGGTGCAGGCGGCTGCATGCATCCCTGTGCCCGTGCGGTGAAGCCCTGGCATTCCAGAAACCACAGGGCGGCACTGAGCCAAAGCTCGCACATCCACAAAAATACCCTGAGCCTCCTGGGAGGGAAAGTGACAATGCTGCCCCAAGAGGGAAGCTGTCCTGCCCTCCCCGATTCCTCTCTCCTTTGACCAGACCAGATCTTACGCTTACTGCTTGAGCCACTCCACCAGCCCTTTTTTTGGCTGATGGGGTCACTCAAACTATTTGCCCAGGGCTGGCTTTGAACTGTGATCCTCCTGGTCTCTGCTTCCTGAGTGGCTAGGATTACAGGTGTGAGCCACCGGTACCTGGCCAAACCAGATCTTTGCGACCTGATTACAGACTTTTTTATTTAGGTGGGACTCGCAGGTTTGAACTCAAGGCTTCGTGCTCAAGCACTCTACTGCTTGAGCCACACCTCCAGTCCATTTTGCTTTGGTTGTTTTGGAGATAGGGTCTCAAGAAGTATTTGCCCAGGGTGGCCTCAAACCTGGATCCCCCTGATCTCAACCTCCTAAGTAGCTGGGATTACAGGTATGAGCTACCAGCACCCAGCTCAGGATAAGACTTGAAAATCTGAGGGAAAAACAAAAACAAAGCCCAGCCAAGAGGACTTGAACAACTGCTCATCCACCAGGACCTGCAGAAAAGCCACATGCTGCTCTGTCTTTAAGGCCTGCCAGGTCTCAAGAAGTGCCAGCCAGGTCTGCGTGGATGCCTCCTTCACAAATCCACTCAGTCACAGGTGGCTAGGACAAGGGGCACAGTCACGAAGAGTGGCCAAGTCCCCATTGCTAAGAAACTCAGTCTACAGAAACAGGCCAAGGGAAAAAGGTGTCAGCTCCTAGACAATATCCCATCTTCCTCCAGATCTGCCTCTGGCTGGAGAGCCAGTAAAGATGAGCCTCAGAGCCTCAGTTTCCCCTTTCCAGCATCCCAGGTGCTGGCTCCAAGCTTCAGAGCGCCCTTGCTTTGAAGTTCAAGTGTGGTAACTGCAGTCTCCCCGCTCTCACTCACTCCAGGCTCATTCAAACAAGGTGCCAGAGCAGGGTCTCATTTCGGTCTGAAGGCCAGCTGACCGCCTCCCGTGTGGCCGGTTAAAGGGCTGGGATCAGAGGAGCCTGAGTGTCTGCGTGCACTCCGGGACCTTGGGCTGGGTCTGTCTCTGCCAGCCGGGGACGGGGAAGCAAAGCCATTTATCCTCCCCATCTGCACCCAGGAAGCGGTGTGGGGCGAGCAGAGCCCCTTCTGCCCCTGAGCCAGGGTGTCTCTGGGTAATTCTGGGCGGTGGAGGGCGCCCTACCAGGCACCTAACGGGCCGGGCACCATGTGACCCTCACAGAGGCACATGTGCCCTCCCGGGTACACAGGTCACAGTCAGGTGCACCCGTGAGGTTACCAGGCATGCTCGGTGTCCCGGGCTGCTCCCGGCGGCAACTCGGCCACCGACCGGTCCTGTTCTGGGCGGTGTGTGGGGGAAGGAGGAGGGGGACAGAGAAGAGTGAGGTCTGTCATGTAGGCCCCGGGTGTGGGGTCTCAGCCTGGGCCAGAAGGTACAGAGGAGGCGGGCAACTACCCCCCGCGCTCCCGGCGGCTCGGGGACGCGGTCACCCACCTTGTGGACCTGCTGCTTGATGAGCGAGGGCACCAGCGCGATCATCACGGCGCCCAGCACGGCGCACAGCAGCCCCGTAACGCCCAGCGCCACGGCCGCCCAGCGCGCTCCGGTGCGGCCGCCCATGTCTGCGCGCCCTGGCTCCCGCCCGGGGCTCGCGGGGCTTGGTGCCTGGGGGACACCGAGACGGCGACCGAGGTGACCGAGGCGGGAACTCCGGGGACGCAAAAGCCGCGGCGGGATCCGGGTGACAGAGCTCGGAAGAGCAGCCCGGCAGGTGGCCAGCGGCTTTATGCGCCATGGCCCGAGTGTCCGGACCGCCCCTGGCTGCCCCTGGCGCGATTCGGGCCCAGGCGGCGGGGGTGGCGGGGCGGGGCCTGCTGGGGCGGGGGCGGGGCGGGGGGGCCGGGACTGCCGCTCCAGACCACGCCCCCTCGAGCGCGAGGACCCGCGCGCGCATGCGCCTGCCTTTGGGCGGGAGCCACGTGCGCGGGGAGGTGGGAGTGCGTCTGCGTCCGTCCCACGTCGCTCTCCACGCGCGCGCGCGCCGTCCTCGCCACGCTGCCTCGGTCGCCGCCGTTGCTGACAGCTGCCCGGGGGCGCCCCGGCCCCCCAGTCCACATTCCGATCCTGCTCCCAGCCCAGCAGCGTGGCGAGCGGATGCCGGCCCCGGGGCCTCTGTACGCCCTCCGCTGGGAATGCAGCGCCCCGCTCCCGGCTCCTCGTCACCCTGCACCCCCCGGGGCGTCGTGTATCCTTTTCATCTTCCCCATCAAATTCCAGCTGCGCCGCGGGCATCAGTCCCTCCGGCCCCTGCCCGGGGCGCAGCTGGGAGCCCCGGCTGGGACAGAAGCAGGTGGACGCTCCTGGCCCCTTGCTCCTGTGCTGAGCCCAGAATGGCTCCACTTCACAGATGCAAAACTGAGGCCCTGGGAGGCTGACTCTCCACCTGGGGGAGAAGCAGATTTGGAGATGAGCCATGGATAACGCAAAACACAGGGGCCGCACTCCGCAGGAGGCCCCCACACGGCCCCTCCTGGCCCTCACCTCTCCACACCGAGTGGGGGCTTCCTGTAGGCCAGGCCCCTCATTCTTTGGATGGGGCAAGACCAGGGTTGACAGGGTGGTGTCCCCAACACTGGTACGCAGGCGCAATCCTCCACGGCTCAGAATGACGCCTTCCAGTCCCATCTTGACCCAAATCAGGACTTACTGAGCACCGCTTGTGTCCTGGCCATGGCCTCTTTTTTTTTTTTTGGTGGGACTGGGGTTTGAACTCAGAGCTCTCACTTGCAAAGCAGGTGCTGCCAAACCTCCAGTCCATTTTGCCCTGGTTATTTTCGAGATGGGGTCTCCCGGGCTGGCAAATAGTTTGAGATCCTTCTGATCTCTGCCTCCCAAGGAGCTGAGGTCACAGGCGTAAGCCACAGGTGGCAGCCTGGCCACAGCCTTGCTTCTAGCACCTTCTGCTCTGGAGACCTGACACTGGCCAGTGCCCCAAGGAGGAGGCAGGGCCAGCGGAGGTGCCAGGTGGAAACAGGTGCAGAGAATTCCTACTCTGAACTTTCCCGCCTCCAGAGTCTTGGGGCCTCTGTGTAGAATGAGGTCAGTTAAATGGGGTCAGTCAAAGCTGCTTTCCAAGCGGTGTCCTGAGCATTCAACAGTTGGAAACACTCAGCAGCGCTCAACAGTGCCTGTCAAGGAAGTGTGCTATTGTGACTGAGGCCCTGTGTCACCTGGCTTCTGGCTCCCACATTGTCCTCGCCACTCCCAGCCTCCCCACTTTCTTTCTGTTCCTTGGACATCCCCAGCTTTCTCTTGCCACAAGGGCCCTGGCTCTTGCTGCTCTTGCTTCTAGAATAACCTTACTCTAGATCCTTCTGTGGCTGACTTCTTTTCTCAGCTCCAAGCCCACTCCTCAGAGAAGCCTGCATACTTAACTTGTTGAAAATGGGGGTCCTGACCTGCTCTCTAGCACATCACCCCATTGGGTCTGAAATGGCCTTACTTATCTTTGTAGAGAGAGAAGTTGGTCTTTCTTGGCTAATCGGTGTTTCCAGGCCCCTGGAGCAAAGCTGAACACATCACCTTGCAGGTACTCCATAAATTGTTCAAGCAATCCACTTCATTTTTCATTCATTCGTTGATCAAGTAACTCACAATCAATTAATATTTTATTGAATTCCTTCAGGTCTCCAACAGCCTTCAGCATGAAGATTGAATCCTAGTGATGTCATAGTTCTTGGACATTAGTCAGCCTAAAACTCAGGTCTGCGACCCTGACGCCCTCCCTCCACTCCCCCATCACTGACACTGAGTCATCTTGAACAGCTCAACCCAGCTTCTGCGGATCAAGGTCCAAATGTACGTGGTGCTTACCTAAGACAGCCCAAGGCCGGCCATGCTGTCACTCGATGAGAGAGATGCGCAGAGATGAAAGGGCCTGAGGCACACGTGACCCGCTCTAACCTTGCAGAGGGGTGTCATTTTTGGGGCATGGCCTAGGGACAGCAAGGACTTGGTCACGCTGCAGAGAAGCCTGGAGGGAGGCAGACAGGGCAGAAAAGAGAGATGGGCAAGAATGAGTGGAGTGTGATGGACGAGGGTGGTTTTACAGGAGGGTCCTATACAGCCGATCCCAGGGGTCCCACCCCCACAGAGACCTCCAGGACCACAAAAGCGTTGGAAAACTGGGACCCACACAGTGCTGCAAAACGGTGCAGCCTTAGATGCTGAAATCAGAGCCCTCACGAGACCTGCAGACCCCTCCCAGGTCCCCTGTGCACAGTCACTCAGAGCTCTTCACAGCAGCCCCAACTGGCTTTACAAAACAGGACACCTGTCAGCTCACAATGGATAGATCAAACATGATACATCCACAGTAGACGGCCCCTCCACGTAAGAAGCAAAAAGGTGTTGCCGGGCACCATGGCTCACACCTGTAAACCCAGCTACTCAGGAGGCGAAGATCAGGAGGATCGTGGTTCAAAGCCAGCCCGGGCAAATAGTTTTGTGACACCCTTTCTCGAAAAAAATCCTTCACAAAAAAAAAAAAGCTAGTGGAATGGCTCAGGTGTGAGCCCTGAGTTCAAGCCCCAGTACTGAAGAAAAAAGAAGCAAGCAAAAAGGTGCTGACCTACACATAGGGCACCGAGGGAAAGCCAGACACACAAGGCCAGATACACAGCTCCGTGTGCCTGAAATGTCCAGATGGGGCAAATCTTCAGAGAGAGAAAGCAGAGGAGAGGCCACCATGGGCTGGGGGGAGGGCAAGGACTGACTTCTGAGAGTCCTTTTTGGAGTGGTGAAAATAGTCTAAAATTGATTGTGATAATGGTGAGTGCCACCCTGACTATCCTAAGAACCACTGGCTTAATATGCTTTAAACAGCAAATTCTATCTCAATAAAGGCTGCTACTTAAAAAGACTTCCTGCCAGAGGCAGTGGTACAAGTCTGTAATCTTAGATACTCCAGAGGCAGAGACTCAGAGGATTGCAGTTAGAGGCCAGCCAGGGCAAAAATAAAAGTTCATGAGACCCCATCCCAACCGGTGACCAGGCAAGGTGGTGTGCACCTGTCATCCCAGCTGTGCAGGGAAACAGAAATAGGAAGACCACAGACAAAAAGTGACACTCTAGCTCAAAAATAACCAGAGCAAGCCAGGAACTGGTGGCTCGTGCCTGTAATCCTAGCTACTTAGGCAGAGATCAGGAGGATTGAGGTTTAAAGCCAGCCCAGGCAAAAAGTTCACAAAACACCATCTCAAAAAAACTCAACACAAAGGGCTGGTGGAGTGGCTCAAGGTGTAGGCCCTGAGTTCAAACCCCAATACAAAAAAAAAAAAAATCACAAAAAAAGGGCTGGTGGAGTGACTCAAGTGGTAGAGCTCCTGCCTAGCAAGTGTGACACCCTGAGTTCAACCCCTGGTACCACCAAAAATAAAATAAAATTTAAAAAATTTAAAAACCTTGCCACAACTCCTACTTCAAAAGAGGACATCCTTTCCCTGGCCTCATCTTCCCGCCTCCTGCTCCTTCCTGCCTCAGGACCCTTGCATGGACTGCTGCCTCTGTGGGAGTACTCATCTCTTCAACAGCTGGGAGGGAGCTCACCCTCCCTTTCAGTCCTGCGCCAAATGTCACCTTATCAAAGAAGACTTGCTTCCTACCCACTCTTTTAAAATTACAAATGGCCCGACCATCCTCCCCAACTCCCTTCTGTCCCCAGCACTTTATCACGCACCACAGGACACAGTGTTTATCTGTTTACTGGCTTCCTTCCCCCTCCACAGTGGCAGAGCCCTTTGAGCAGGGTTCTGTGTGTTTTGTGTTTATTTGTCCTGGCTCCTAGGACAGTGCCTGGCACACAAGAAGTCCTGGGTAGGTGTGTGCCCAGAAGCAGCCACCTAGCCCTGTCCAAAGCCCGCTGCCTGGCCTGGTGACCTGTGGCCAGTCGCTCAGCTTAACATCTGTGCCCTGGAATATGGTCCCAGCCAGCTGCCTGTGGGGGTGTCCTGAGGCAGAGGGCAGATCCCGCTCACATACCCAGCAGGTGGCCCCCGTAGGTGGGGCTGTCACGCTTCATCAGGTGCAGAAAGCCGTGTGCAAACTGTGTGCCCCACACACACAGTCCAGGGGACAGTTGAGCCACTTCTTTCCTGGGGGTAGCAGAACTGTTGCTTGGGAGCCAAGTCCCTCAGTGGCAGGAAAGGAGGGAGAAGGGAGAGGACAGGGAAGATGGGAAAGGCAGAGGGAAAGGGAGGAAGGGAGGGGAACTCCAGTTGTGGCCACATCTGCCCCAAGATGGCTGCCAGGGAGGGCAGGAAAGAGACCCGTTGTGTTTGTCACCTGGAGACTATGCCTGATGCTGGGGTTCAGCCGGGAGTGGGAGCAGTTCCCCTGCCCCGCAGATCTGGGGTCACAGCCTGCAAGTGAGAAATGGGACAGTGGGGGACCTCACACCGCTGAGAGGCCTTTGTCTGGTGTGGCAGCCCTGGCCACTGAAATTGGATGTGCCATGTCACCCACACTGATTTCAAAGACCCCTTCTGAAAAGAGCACAAAATGTCCCAGTGTTCTGGCATTAATTTCATATCGGAATGACAATTTGGAGATAATACAGTTACAATTCCTTTCACCTGTTTCGCTAGGCAGGCGCTCCTGTTTTGAGTTTTTTCAAGACAGGGTCTCTCGACCTATTTGCCAGGGGCTGGCTCCTGAGTAGCTGGGATTATAGGTGTGAGCCACCAGTGCCAAGCTGTGTCTTTTTTTTTTAAATGTAGCTAGTAAAATTTTTTAATTGTGTACATTAGTGTTACAAGAGTTTTAGGCCCCAAGTCTAAACTCCGGGGTTCCATACACCAAATAAAGAGACCAGAGGAAGGAAATTTAACTAACACAGCAGCTGGAGTATGAGGCCGGAAGAGGCAGAGAGCATTGCAACCCCACACTGATGAGGGGAAGCTCACACCTGTCCCCCCAAGCTACATGGGAGGCCGAGAGCGGGAGAATCAAGGTTCCTGGCCAACTTGGGCAAAAAGTTCATGAGACCCCATCTCAACAGAAAAAGCTGAGTGTGGTGGTGCGTGCCTGTCATACCAGCAATGTCTGGAAGCTTAAAATAGGAGGAATGAAGTCTGAGCCAACCTAGGCAAAAAGCCAATAGCCGGCCCCCAGGCTGCAGTCGGAATGTCTGTGCCCTCGGCCATCTGCACCCATGTGATGATGGGTGACCTTGGAGGTCAGGAGGGCTCTGCCCCGGCAGTGGGATGAGACCCTTATAAATGAGGCCGCAGAGGATACCTGGCCCTCCAGCCAGTGAGCGCTCAGAGAAGGCTGTGACCAGAAAGCCACTCTCCTCATGACCACCTGCCCGTGCCTTGACCGTGGACTCGTGGCCTCCCCCCACCCACAGAGAAACCTCTGTTTCAGAGTCCCCACCTCAGCAGTCCTCAGCAAGGATGGACAGACTGATCCTCCCAGGACATCTGTCCCCACAAGCTCTGCCCCAGCAGTCCCTGACCACAGCCTCTCCAGGCCCTTTCCTCTCCATGCAGGCCAGCAGTCACGCCTCACCTTTGTCCCGGCCTCAGGACCAGCGATAACACCTCTTGGGCGAGGCCAGCACACTCTCCAGGACAAAGGTGTCTGTCTAGGGAGGCCCCAGGTGGCACCTGAGCTACGCCTGCCCCACTGGACAGGTCACAAGCAGAGAGGAGACAGGAGGACCATTCCTGTCCTAGCACCCAGGAGTCTCCCCGTGTCACCTGCCTGCCCTCCCAGCAGGGCAGTGCACGTCCATTCTTTCACAAGCTGGTATCGACTGACACGCTGCGTGTCAGGCATATTGTGTGCAGGCAGGGGGGAGGGGTAGAAGGGGGACAAGCCCAACACGCCTCTCTGTCCTGGCCTCACTTTTTAGTAGGGGTAAGAGATTTAAAAACCAAAGACAAGGCCAGAGGAGAGGCTCAGTGTCAGAGCACTCGTCTAGCACACCGGAGGCCCCGGGTTTGATCCCCAGCTCCACCAAAGTCGAATGTTTAAAAGGCAAATAAGTAAGGGTTTTAGATGAGAGCAACACAGGAAGTAGTGCCTCTAGACGGACGGGAGTGGAAGGGTGAGACCTGAAGCATGAGAGCTGGAGAAGATATTTCCAGCAAATGAATCAGCAAGTGCAAAGGTCCTGTGGCAGGAGCTGCTTGGTTTGTTCTAGGCGTGGATAAGCAGGGACCAGGCTGTGAAGGACCAGTCCCAAGGCTATCGGCGGCACCCCTTTTATTCACAAAGGTCGGTGACCCGGGCCCATGGCAGGGTGTGCAATAAATTATATGGTGATTTTGTTTCCTAGGTTACGGTGAAGCATTCTGATCTTAGCTGTATACAGCTTCTGCAGTGGGGTGACCCAAGCTGATTTAAGAGAGTTGGGGGGAGGGACACTTTCTCAGGTGGCCCAGAAGAAGGCTTGTGATTGGTGCAAACATAGCTCTTCATTTGCATGAAAGGCTGTGTTGTTAATGGTGAAAACATAGTCCTTCATTTGCATAAGGAACTGCCATGTGTGGTGAGAGCATGTACTCATTTACATGAGGAACTGTGCCAATTGGTTCAGACAGTCCTTCATTTGCATGAAGGTCTGCTGTGATTGGTGCACACACCCTTGCCACGCCCCCTCTCTGGCTACATTAGCAGGCTCTGGGAGTGGCCAGGAGGCGCCCTCTTGTGCTGCCCCCTGGAGTTGCTGCCTTAGCCCAGTGAAGGCTTCTTGGCAGTCATGTTTTCTTGCTTACTTTTGATGTCTATGGCTGATAGAGTGGGCTACCACATGGAAGAAGAGGGGAACGGTGGCGACAGCAGAGACAGTGACAAGAGGCAGCTGGACAGGGCTGAAGCAGCAGAGACAAGGAGGGCGGGCAGAAGTGGAGGGAGGGCAGAGAGCTGAGGCTGAAGAAAGACAGAGGCTGGGGCGAGGGAGGGAGGAGGAACTGGGCCCTGAAACTGGGAGAGCTGCAGAGCTGCAACCCTGGCCACCGTCAAGGGCCGAGGACATCCTAGGCCTGACAGGTATAGCACTTGTCACTGTAGGGCTAGGGGACCCAGCTCCCAAGGCCCCTCTGAGAGCTGTGACACGAGAGTCAAGGATACCCACCATGCCATGGCCCCTGGTCACTAGCACTGCATGGTTCTTCCTGCCAACCCATGGCTGTCTCCAGGTAGAGCTCAGGGAGCCCAGCCAGCCCGTGGGTGGCACTGCCTCCCCCTCCCAGTGCTGGGGTTTTGATCCCCGGCTTCAGCTTTGAAGCTGTCACTTCCCACACAGAGCCACGAACAGGAACTAAATCTGGTGGAAAGGGATTAACGAGAAGAAGGGAGGCTTCTAGAGTGTTCTGGGCAGAGGAAGTGGCCAGGCAAGAGGACTGAGGTTAGAAAGCCTGAGAATTTCAAGCAGCAGGCACTCTCGGAGCCTCACTTGCCTGTCTGTAAATTGGGTGCCACCTTCTCAGAGGGTTGGGTGTGGGGTGAGTCCCTGCCTGCAGAGCCGAGTAGAGCAAACTGGCAGACACCAGGGTGGGTGGTGGGGGACAGGGAGAGGGCAGAGGGTGGAGTACCTGAGCAGATGTGGCTCTCGGGATCTGCAGGGTAGACAACAGGCCCACCCTGGTCACCCAGCCACTCCACAGTGCCAGGCAGGACTGGCAGGTGGCCCACTCACTCGGGTCTACTGAGCACTTAGTTTTACCCGGACTTCGTGTCCCCCTGCAAGGGGTGTGTGGCCATTCACTGTCCCATTTCACAGATGGGAAACGTGGTGTCCAGACAGCAGCCACCCCTGGCTGCCGTGAGACCAGGCCTTCTCCTGTGCAGCCTTCAGAGAAGGAGATCGTGGCAGGGGCCAGTGTGCCAGGGACGCCCGCAGACAAGGCTCGGAGGTCACTCAGAACATCACCAGTCATTGGGGAGACGCAAAGCAAACCACCGTGAGGTCCCTTTTCACCTCATTAGGATGGAGACTACTGTGAAAAAATAAAAGCAGAAAACAAGCGCGGGTGAGGAGAACTTCGACTCTGTGCACCATATGACAACACGACAGACGCTTCTCAAAAACTCAAAATACAATTACCAAGCCAGGCATAGTGTCACCCACCTGTTACCCGCACTTGGGAAGTAGAGGCAGGAGGATCCTGAGTTCAAGGGCAGCCTGGGCTACATAACAAGACCCTGTCTCAAAAAAAATTTAAGTGGCCAGGCACCGGTGGCTCACGCCTGTAATCCTAGCTGCTCAGGAGGCAGAGATCAGGAGAATCACAGTTCAAAACCAGCCCGGGGAAATAGTTTGTGAGCGCCTATCTCAAAAAAAATCCATCATAAAAAAAGGGCTCAAGGTATAGCCCGAGTTCAAGCTCTAGTACAGCAAAAAAATTAAAATAAAATAAAATGGTAAAAAAAAAAAAACAACCCTATCCAACAGTCTGACTGAGCCAGAGAGAGGACAGAAGAGGAGTCTCCACAAGGGCTGATTTTGTGGCCAGCGCTTCAAGAAAACTCCAATGAG